AGTTTTTGTATGTTTTTTTTCTCAAGCACAAATGTATGACTGCCCATTTAATGTGAAACCAGGGCAGTGACAGGAGCTGATTGGCCAGCATGGCCTGGGGCCCCCATCCAACAGATCAATAAAGAAACAGCCATGTTTTCACAGATAACGAACACACCGCTGTGTTCACTGTCTCCGTTTAGTCCCTGGGGTCTGTCTGGTCCAATTTTTCCCATCTTTCAGATTGGCTGTTGGTGGTGCCTCTGTCTGTCTGATGCTTCAATTCTCCACAGTCATCTGTCGAATTTGGAGCAGGTTATGGAACAAGTCAATGCGATGCGTTCTGTCACATTTACAGGAAGTGACCTGATCTCATTTAACAGGCTGCTGCACTGTAGGACTGTGTCAAGATAGTTCTGCTTGTCCTGGTCCGTTTCACATGGGTTACATGTGAAGAGTCACACTTACTGAAAGTACACATGAGAAGAAACAGCTTTGCTTCCTTTCAGAGCTGCTGGGTACAAGAATGTCCATTTGGTTTTTATCATCACACACTGTTCCCCTGACTGGTGCAGTGAGAAAAGCAGGATATTGTGTGCTCTGCTGCCCCCTTGTGTTGCTTGGGCCACAGTGCAGCTGCTCCTGAGCCTCTATTAGTTGTGAAATTCTCTTGGATGCAGTGAACAGCTGTAGTCTCTAGTGCTGCATCAGCATCCTCATGCTTCCTGGCCTCCCGCACAAACCGGTTACTTGTCTCTCTCTTCTCTTCCAGGTTAACGGAAAACATGAGGCGACTGAGTAAGTGCCTCCCTGCTGACTTTGCTGTGCAATATCAGGGACTGTTCTAGAACATTGTGCTTTAGTGTTGGATCACGTGTTGTTCTCAATGGGCATCTGGATGACATGGTTCTCCTCTGTGGACAGAGAGAGGAGCCAGACCTGTCACAAGCTTTATGAGGAATCTGTCCGCCTTGTCCAACTGGCACTCTGTATACACGTCAGCCATTGCATTCATTGTAAGTATCAACCCCTTCAGTACGGACAGCCTAAATTTGTAAAATTGGTAAAGGCTTCATAGGCGGGTGATGCGGTGTGTGTGTGTGTGTGTGTGTGTGTGTGTGTGTGTGTGTGTGTGTGTGTGAGAGCGGGTTTACCTATCCTTATGGGGACATAATGTCCCCATAACGTGATAAATATCTGTTTTTTTTCCCCTTATGGGGACCAGGAAACCGGGAAAAATCGGTGACTGCTATGAAAAAACTAAAAATGCAAAAACTCTTGTATTTTGTTAGGTTATGGTTAGGGCAGGGTAGGGGTTAAGGTTGTCATAGTTAGCGTTAGCATTTTTCCCATTGAAATGAATGAGCGGTCCCCATAAGGATATGTTTACCCTACATGTGTGTGTGTGTGTGTGTGTGTGTGTGTGTGTGTGTGGCAGATGGGTGGCAGGGTGTGTACGTATGCGTGTGGATTAGTGTCTCACGTGTGTTCCCGGCCTCCTCCTCAGATCTACATGAACGCGGCCTGGTATGGCTGGGCTATCCCCATGTTCCTGTTTCTCGCCATTCTGAGATTGTCCTTGAACTATCTCATCTCCAGGTAGGTTTCTTAGCCCCGCACTCAGGTCTTGGGGATGTTCATGCTTCTAGTGGCATCATCTGAGATGGGTGGGAGGCATCACATGACTGGGGCATGAGGCGCTCAGAAAGGCTGATGGTGTTCATTTGTAGCACATTTGAATCTTTGTTTTGGTCTTCAGGGGCTGGAGGATTCAGTGGAGCATCGTGCCTGAAGTTTCTGAACCAGTGGTAAGGACTGCCTATGCTTACTGAGCACTGCCTAGAGAAAACTAGAGGGAGCTGTTAGCATTGCTGCCGTCGGTCATGTTTCCCCACAGAGGAATGCTGAACATGCTTTTCTGTCACTCAGGAACCCCCGAAGGAGGACCTGACTGTGTCAGAAAAGTTCCAGCTGGTTCTTGATGTGGCACAGAAAGCTCAGGTAATCTGGTGGACACAAGGGTTGCCCTGATTGCTGCCACCAGATATCCTAAATCTGTAATATGTGCACCCTTGACACCCACAAGATGTTTGAGCTTCAGTTCTTAATATTTGTTTCTTTGATTATTTGGCAGAATCTTTTCGGTAAGATGGCAGATGTCTTAGAGAAGATAAAGAAGTGAGTATTCAGGGTGTATCTCTACTCTATGCCCATCCTTGTGTGTGAAAAGATGGAGAGACGTGTCTTCCTGACCATTTTCTTTGTGTGTGCCAGCCTGTTCATGTGGGTGCAGCCAGAAATCACCCAGAAGCTCTACGTCACACTCTGGGTTGCCTTCATCTCCTCCTGTTTGCTTCCCTACAAGCTCTTAGGCTTCATCATTGGTGAGATCTTCAACATCCTCATATTTTGCTCTTGTTTGTCTCCTGGCCTGCCTCTCTGCAGGGGGCAAGTGTCGCTGACACCCCTCCCAATTTTCCCTGCACCCAGGACTGTACGCTGGCATCAAATTCTTCATAATCGATTTCATCTTCAAAAGTTGCCCCAAGCTAAGGCGGAAGTATGACACACCCTACATTATCTGGACCAGCCTGCCCACCGACCCGCAGCTGAAGGAGCGCAGCAATGCCGCTGTGACCCGTCGGGTGAGCCCACGGGCGTCGGACCCCTGTGCTGGGGTACCATGCCTTCATCACTTCAGACACGCAGTGCCATGCTGACGGTCATGTGACTCCCATGATTATTCATTACCTACGGGCAGCTGTATGTTACCATTCCTGTGCACCCCATTCATAATGTGACTCATCAGACTACTAACTTGTGGTGTTTGTGTTACTGGAAACCAGTTTGTACTACAGCATATCATGGGATGTTGTACATACATGTGTTTGTCATGTTGTTTCAATCCTGGCTATGTTGCAGCCTGTAATGTAGGGGAGGTTACATGTGTTACATGCGTGTTCTGCTGTCTCTCTCTCTTTCTCTCAGCTCTCTGCGTGTGAGAAGGTAGGGTCTGCAGCTTGTGTGAGTCTGCAGTTTAAAAGTGTGTGTGTGTGTGTTGTTTACAAACACACTTAGTGCCTCAGCGTGTTTCTGTACACCTGGGTCTGAACATGTCCTGCTGGTTTCATCTTAACAACAAGTAAGAAAAATGAAAGCCTGAGCTGTTTATTGGGGTAGTCATAGCCTGGTTAGAGGCTTCATCACCATCCTGGGATGACATGTCAGATCCATGTTCAGGGGTGCGCTCGGCCGTATGCTGCTCTTGCTGTGTTTAGATCAGTGGTTCTCAATCCTGTTCCTGGTGCCCTTCCTTCCAGAATGTTCTCGTTCCAACCCTACCTTAATCAGGCTCAGATGGTCCTTAATAGGCTAAAGCCGGTTTCAGACCGAACGCGCTGCTCGCGGAGCTTGTGCGAGCTCTGTGGTCAAAGAACTTTGACCGCTGAGCGCTGTGACGCATTGTCGCGCGATCAATAGAAACAAGGCACCGAAATCGAAATAGAGGGAAATTTATAGCTCTGGGAAATCAGACACGGACAATATATCACATAAGCGTAGAATCTTTTCGAATGCGAAATATACATCGTCACTACTGACCGCGAACCGAAATGACAGGAGAGTGTTTTGAAAACCGCGCCTACTCTTTGCGCAGAAGCCCCGCGCGAGCACAGCGCGTTGAGCGGACACCGCTGTTTTTTTTTAATAGGGCGCGCACAGCGCATGCCGCGTTTGGTCTGTAACCAGCTTTAGCCTATTAAGGTAGGGTTGGAACGAAAACATTCTGGCAGATGAGGCGCCAGGAACAGGACTGAGAACCACTGGTTTAGATGGATGTGCTCGTAGATGATGTGGCCTTTCACTGCAGCCCTTAGCTCCATGCTGCTTCTGGTACTGAACCTGATGGCCCTCTGTTTTAACCAGCTCCCCTATGGGTCAGCATCCACTTTAACCGGCCCTTCTGCGGGATGCCATTTGCCTTAACCGACCCCACTGCAGGTCACCGTCTGCCTTAACCAGCCCCTTTGTGGGTCCCGTCTGCCTTAAACGGCTCCCCAGGATTGACCTCTGCTTTAACCAGCACCAATGTGGGTCGCAGTCTGCCTTAACCAACCTCACTGCAGGTTGCTTTAACTGGGCCCACTGCAGGTTGCCATCAGCTTTGTCTGGCTCCTCTCTGGGTCGTGTCAGCCTTAACTGGCTGTCCTATGGGTTGACATCTGCTTTAACTGGCTCCCCTGTGGCTCACCGTCTGCCTTAACTGGCTCCCCTACGGGGTTGGCATCCATTTTAACTGGCCACTCTGCGGGTCGCCGTCTGCTTTAACCGGCCCCTCTGTGGGTCGCCGTCTGATTTAACTGGCTCCTCTCTGGGTCACTGTCAGCCTTTTCTGGCTGTCCTATGGGTTGGCATGTGCATTAACTGGCTCCTCTGTGGGTTGGTGTCTACCATAACCATCCCTCTCTGCGGGTCGCCGTCTGCCTAAACCCACCCCTCTGCAGGTCACCGTCCACCTTAACTGGGTCCTTTGTGGGTCACTGTCTGCCTTAACCGGCCCCTCTGTCAGTTGCCATCAGCCTTAACTGGATCTTTTGACGGTCACCGTCCACCTTACCTGGATCCTTTGCGGGTCACCATCTACCTTAACTGGATCCTTTGCGGGTCGCAGTCTACCTTAACTGGATCTTTTGACGGTCACCGTCCACCTTACCTGGATCCTTTGCGGGTCACCATCTACCTTAACTGGATCTTTTGACGGTCACCGTCCACCTTACCTGGATCCTTTGCGGGTCACCATCTACCTTAACTGGATCTTTTGACGGTCACCATCCACCTTACCTGGATCCTTTGCGGGTCACCATCTACCTTAACTGGATCTTTTGACGGTCACCGTCCACCTTAACTGGATCCTTTGCGGGTCGCCGTCTACCTTAACTGGCTCCCCTGTGGGTAACTGTCCACCTTAACCACCCCCCTCCGTCAGTCGCCATCGGCCTGCTGCCTGTGCACCTTAACTGCAGTGCAGGTCCTATGTTTATGTGGCCCAATGTGGCCCAGCAGTGTTTCATACGGAATCCCCAATCAAATGACCCAGCCGGTATTCAACTGCTTGTTGAATTTGAAGCTACAGGCTGCCAGGACAAAGGAACGATTTTATTATTTAATGAAAATAAACGAACAAAAATGATACATGGATTATCTCCCCAAAGTCACAATGTTGTTATGAATCCATCTGCTTTGTTCATTCTTTGAATGTTTTATTAAAATTATACAAGTTTGTTTTTTTGCCTGGTATGTAATCATCTCGTCCTTTGGGACTTTTGGTAAGGGGCACACACATACATGTGTGTGCACACACCTGGACACACATGCACACAGAGACACACGCCGTATAACTTTCTGTCTTCTTCTGGAGGTGTTTGGGCTCTTTAAGCTCAATGTATACTGTATTTACCTCATCATTCTACACATCTGACCAGGGCTGCTGCTAACGACTATTTTTCTAAGGATTAATCTATTGACTATTTTACAGATTGGTTGATTAATCTAAATTAATTTTCCTCCAGAAAATCAAATAGACCATTTTAATTGAATTTTATTTTGACAACAAACTGTGTTTTTGCAGGGCTTTAGATAATGCTTTTCGGCACTATATGGCCATTATTTTTGCCCACAATCCGATAAGCAAGTTACAGTACCTAAAATATCAATGTCATGCGTATTGTGATGCCCACAAGTTAGTAATCTGTAGAAATTTGGTATATCTTTATGCTTATTAAATACGATTAGCAGAGCATGCCACATGTACGCTTTTGGTTTCTTCAGGAACTCAGGTACTGTGTAAAACCACCTTATTGTTTTGTGATAATCTTGGGAGTAGTTCAAATTATGTAGTGATATTGAAGAAAAGCATTAATTATAATGAACTAAAGTGTTTTAGAAATCATAAAGGTAATTTAAAATAATTTTAAAAAATGATGCGTCGATTTTTAAAAATATCGATGTCAACACATTTTCAGCATGAATCATCTGCAGCACTTGAACTCCCTTAATTTAATTTAACTCTCTTAATTCCCTTTCCAGAATATTTTATCTCTCTTGTCCTCATGGATGTCTTTTGGACCCCCCCTTATCTGTACTGCTTCTACATGTTAGGTACCCCCTCTTCCATGCGAAGTGTGTCTGCAGTGAATGAGTGTTTTTTTTCCTCTTCTGTATTGTGCTGGCTTGTTTGTTCACTAGACCGCACTCCAGCGTTCTTGAGACTGCCCTTCAGCATTCACTAGGCCATACTCCAGTAGTCACTAAACGATTCCTGGCAATTCTAATTTTACTGTCGCAATGGGTTCTTATAGCTTGTGGTGTGTGACCTGGCTGGCCCTGACTGTTGCCTGACCACCTTCCCCACAGGTCCAGCCAGTGACCTCCCGTGGTAACCTAGCAACCAGTGTCCCATGTGGCGTCAGCCGTGACGAGGAGAGCACCCGACCACACAGCACCAAGAAGGGTGCCTTCCACGAGATCTTTAACCTGTCTGAGAATGAGCGCCCCCTGCCGGGTACGGTCACAGCAGAGTGTGTATATATGTACCCTGTGGGTCCATTATGGTGTGTGTGCTTATATGTTGACCCGTTGGCCCATTCTAGTGTGTGAGAATGGCTGGAGGTGCTGCCTGATCAACCGGGACAAGAAGATGCCCACAGATTACATCCGCAATGGGGTGCTGTACGTCACTGAGAAGTAAGTCTCCATCACGTGTGCCTACACCCACACATGCACGTGCATGCAAGCACATGCACAAGACTGTACTCGCGCTGTCTCTAACCCCACAGCTACTTGTGCTTCGAGAGCTCCAGCTCCCGCTCTGGCTCGTCCAAGAAGAATAAAGTCATCAAACTGGCTGACATCACTGACGTCCAGAAGGTCCGTCTTTAGCCGTTCTCCTACGTGCTGTGTGGCGACTGTTTCCTCCCATGTACAACATGTGACCGACATGCTGATGTCTCTCACAGTACAAAGTTTTGTCTGTGTTGCCGGGATCCGGAATGGGAATTTCGATCGCTACACCTGCCACCCAGAAGGTAGGACTCTGATTCAGTAAGCACGTTAAAAGAGAGGGCAGTATTAAAACTGCCCTAAAACTGCCCTCCGCTTCTGTGAGGCAATGACTGTGGGGAAGCCACCAGTGAAAATTAGTGTGTCTGTCTGGATATTTTAGCTTGGGGAGTATCTGTGTATGAGGGTATGTCTACAGAGGTGTGTCTGTGTGATGGTGAGTGTAGGGGCATGTCTACTCCTTCCTGTCCCCCCCCCAGCCCCTTTGCTCCCAGACTGTGTCCTTTCTGACTGTCTGCTTCTCGCTTCTTGTGTCCCCCAGCCCCTCGTGTTCGGCGCCATGATCCACCGTGACGAAGCCTTCGAGGCGATCTTCACACAGTACATGAAAACTGTGACCAGCACCAGCCCGGACACCTAGCGGCAGGCAGACGGGCAGCCAAAAAGCTGGGGGGTGGGGGTGGGGGCAATTTCCTGCAAGCTCTACCAGCCTCTGAGCGACTGTGCTGGTGGTGGGGGTGGGGCTTGGGCCTGTGGCTGACCTCCCCCTCTCGTATCCTTTGCTCTCTCGCTCTGGTCATCTGATGTGGGCTTGGCAGGGGGCAGAGCAATTGGGTATTTCCCTCCTTGTTTTTGCAGAGAGGCCGGGGCTGGGGGGTTCCTTTGGACACTGATGTTTCATGGCGGTGGGGGGGCTGGATCTCCCTACCCACCTGCAGCCCCTTCCTGTTACTCGATGTAGATGTATGTTGGATGCTCTGGCTCTTTAGTACTGGCTTGATGAGCTATGTGCTTTGCCTCCTGGTCATCACCATGGCCACCATTGCCCTGAGAGGGACTCTGCACCCCACAGATGGAGAGAGGATCACCGGTAATGCTAATTTGTGTCACCGGTTACCAGTAAACTCCTGAGTGACCAGTGCAACTATTATTATAACCTGTAAAATATTTTACATATGGCCTTTCCTTTGAATTTTTTATGTTTTTTTTTTTTTTTTATAATCCAAGATCTACTGAATGTTTTCCTAACTAAAGCACACATCCTTATGCAGAGGAAATCTAAACGGGAGGCTTTTGGATTGCATACAAAACCATTATTTCCCAGGATTTTACAGCTTGTTTATAATGTTTTTACAAATGTTATACATGTGTAAACTGCTGCATCTCGTAAGGGGCTTTGACATGCTCAGCCCAGTGTACTTCAACCTGCTAAGGACTTCCTGCACAGTATTTATGTGACAGTCAGTTGTAGAGTGAGCCAACCTTCCACCTAATGGCATGTACTGCATGTCCTCTTGGACATTATCATAGGGGCATAGATTTGGAGGTGAGGTAATTGATACAGGCATTAGTCGGACATCATTTCTTAGCATAAGAAAGTAAAAGAATTAAAACTGATGCTGATTACTGTTAAAGGTGAAAAATTAGCTTAATTAGCCGTTTTAACATCTGATTACTACTTATTTGGTCAGTACAGATTATTGCCTTATTTTGTTTCATCTGCTGTTCGAGTTTGCCCTCGAAGTGTTATTATTAAAAGCTGGAATTTTGAAAGTTTTGAACGTTCCTGAATTCAGTGCTAAGCCATGTGCTGACCTGCAGTGTAACCATGGTTATATCTCCCTACCAAATTTTCACGTGCTTCCCGTCAGGTCTGAGGCCCTGAGGTGTCCTGTGTTGGACAGTGGCCTGTGCCGGCCTCCTCTATGTTTTTGTGTGTTTTTATTAACAACAATTTAGTAGCGTGGAAAAGCAGGATCCTGACCATCCCTCGATATGTGACCGTTGATGTCCTCCTGTACCTTTTCATCATCAAAGCTCCGTCCTGCCTCCTGCCCAGAGTCCTCATGCATTTTTTTTTCATGGATAACAGAGCTTTTGCCAAATGTTTATTTTATAATGACCTGCAGTATGTACACAGGAGGCCAGTCAGGGTTTTGGCCTTGCCATGATGGGGGCTTGGTTAAGGTGGGATGTGGTTGGGCGTGATTGGTAATGGGCGCGTGACCGCTGCACATGGCGATGCGGCTTCGGTTTGGCCAGTTACAGGATGGCTTCTGCTCCCTCTTGTGGCTGGAACCTCCAGTGGATTTGTGCTGAGAAGTGGTTGAATGAGTTCCGGCGATGGTAGTGGAGAACTTTTGGTTCTGTTCCGAAGGCACCTGCCTGTCCTTGGGCTGGTGTACAGAGGAATCCACTTTTTATCTTAGTAGAGCCAAACTTGTCCTGGTATTAGGATTTTGTCAGGTCTCTCTGGCACCAAGAGAAGTTTTTTAGTGGCACTTCATGCCTCTAGATAGGGATGGTGGCATGTCTGTTAGGATATGAAGGCCTGACATGCTTGAGTGGGGTTCTGATGGGTCCCCCTCCCGGACCGGGGTGCAACGCCCATGCCGTGTACTCACACACTCTGCCTTAGTGTAGCTTTCAGTGTTCATGAATACTCACTGTAACCCTGTGTAAATGTAACTCTGTGATTACAAATCTGAGTGTAACCGCACATCTGTTATTGGTGTCACTGTTGTCTGATGACAATGGAAGAATTTATTTATATTTCAAAACATGTTCTGTTGGGGGTGGTCTGTAAAGTTTTTAAAAGAGTATCTATTGTAAAAATGTGATGTATGTTTTTTAAGTAAATGAATTTAAATGACAGCTTTCTTCTCTTCATTCTGTACCTCTCTTCTGACTCTTTATCAGTGAGTGACATTTCTGTATTTACCTGTGGTCCAATAAGACTGTCGAGTTATGGGATGTAGGCTCCACTCCCCGTGACTGTGACAAGGATAAATGGATGGATGGATATGGGGGATGACATGCTTCTGTACTCTGGGTTGACTAACATGATGTTTCACATATCAGCTGAGTGTTGTACCTCAGCACTGACAGTTTGTCAGTGATTTGCTGGAGGAGGGAGAGACTGTCAAGTGAAAGTGGGTCAATGAACCATCAGTAAATATATGGATTTTGCTCATTTGGCCAAGGGCTTAGCTGAGATGTCAGCAACTGCTCACCCCCTCAACTGTTCAACCCCTGGAGTCCCCCTCATCTTAAAAGGTCAGGTGGCTTCTGGACCGGTTTGCCCCTTCAAGGTGTCAATGAAAATATTGATCTGGTGTGGCCACCCCAGAGCTGCTCTTTCACATTTCCTGGTGTTTACATCGTGCCATATTCCAGCTCCTGGGGGCATTGATAATGCATCTTCTTCATCTGTGTGCTTAAAGCACTGAGCATCATTCACAACCTCCTAACTCCACAAGGGAGTGCACAATGCTGGGGCAAAAGACAGAATTTCTCAAGGTCCATGATAAAAAGAGACTTGAAGCGACATCGCTGTTGGGCTGTCTGTCCTGGTTACGTCTCTTGGTTATATCAGTACCACATGGCTAGACATAAAGAGATGTTTGTTTAATGTTTAGTGACTTGGTAACCTGAGCTGAGTGTAATCCTGACCCTCATCTTCACTTCATCTGGCCTTTCAGAAGAGTTCGGGACACAGCTGTACCTTGATGTAAAATACCAAAGTGGATGCAATGCTGCGCCACAAGGGGGCACTAGAGTACAAAAATATAACTGCACATTTGCTTGAGGTTGAGCATGGAAAATAAGGATTTATGTACCCTGACGAATGGCTCCAAAGGGTGTACATACATTTACATTAAGCTCCTAATCGCAGGGGAGCTATGAAAGATGCGTGGGAGATCTTTCATAACCGTTTTGTTGTGTTTTCCAAGCCTAGTGAGGGTACATTTGGGAAAATGTGTAGATTAGTAAATCCCAAAAAACAAACCACCTGCCATCGCTGTGGAGTAAAACACCCCCCCCCCCCTGTTCTTTAAATAAAGCCTACAACAACAAAGATTAGGTGACAAGTTGTTGATGTAGCTTGCAAGCATATGTTGCATGAAAATGGTACACTATATAGACAAAAATATTGGGACTCACCTCTTAATCACTGAATTCAGATGTTTGATTCAGTCCCATTGCCACAGGTACATAAACTCAAGCACCTAGCCATGCAGTGAGGATTACACACATTTGTGAAAGAATGGGTCAGTATGAAGAGCTCATTGAAAACAAGCATGGTAATGTCACAGGATGCCATCTTTGTGATAAGTGGGTTTGTTCATTTTTTTCCCTGCTAGATATTCCACGGTCAACTGTAGGTGGTATTACTGCAAAGTGGAAGTGTTTAGGAACATAATAAACTCAGCCATGAAGTGGCAGACCATGTAAAGTGACAGAGAGGTTGCTGAGTGCTGAGGCACATAGTGAGTGGAAGTCGCCAACACTCTTGAGTAACTGCAGAATTCCAAACTTCCTCTGGCATTAACCCCAGCACAAAAACTGTGCACCAGGAGCTTCATGGAATGGACTTCCATGGCTGAGCAGCTACATGCAAGTCTCGCATGTAAAGCATGCTGACACTGGACCGAGGAGCAATGGAAACGTGTTCTGTGGAGCGATGAATCATGCTTCTCTGTCTGGCAGTCTGATGGATGAGCCTGGGATTGGTGGATGCCAGGAGAACGTAACCTGCCTGACTGCATTGTGCCAACTGTAAAGATTGGTGGAGGAGAGATAATGGTATGGGGTTGTTTTTCAGGAGTTGGGCTAGGCCCTTTAGTTCCAGTGAAGGGAACTCTTAATGTTTCAGCATACCAAAATATTTTTGACAATTCTGTTTCCAACTTTGTGGAAACAGTTTTGAGAAGGCCCATTTCTGTTCCAGCATGACTGAGCCCCAATGTACAAAGCAAGGTCCATAAAGACATGGTTGGGTGAGTATGGTATGGAAGAACTTGACTGGCCCAAACCTCAATCCCATAGAATTCCTTTACGATGAACTAGAATGGAGCTTGAGCCAGACCTTCACGTCCAACATCAATGCTTTCACAGAATAGTAGCAGCTGTTATAGCTTAAGGGGGAACATACTCCATATTGATGCCTATGGATTTAGAATACGATGTAATAAAAGTTCCTTTAGGTGTAATGGCCAGGTGTCCCAATACTTTTGTGTATATACTGTACCCATTGTGATAGACTGGTAACCCTGGGTCTGGGTTTTTGAAGGTATTCTGTATACCTTGGTTGTAATGATTGGGTATTTCAGTACTGTTCCCCTTCTATCAGCTTGAACCAGTCTGGCCATTCTTCTCCAACCTCTGCCAGCAACACAGCATTTTTTATCCAGAGAACCGCTGCTCTCTGGATGTTTTTTTTTTTTACATTTTTGGCCCATCCTTTATAAACCATGAGATGGCTATGCATGAAAACTGCAGTAGATCAGCACTTTCTGAAATACTCATACCAGACTGTCTGGCACCAACAACCATTCCGTGTTCAAAGTCACTTAAATCTCCTTTCTTCCCCATTCCAGGGGGTATTCCATGAAAGTAGCTAAAGAAAGCCAGACGTTCCCGAAAAAGTCAGACTCAAACTAGTGCCATCTCTAAACTTAGCCTCATGTCGTTCCACTAATGCAGTTTAGTTTTAACTAATCAAAGCTCATACAAGACAGACTTGCATAGTCTCAGTGCACACACCCGAGATATTTAGAAAGCCCAAATGAATGGATGAACGATAGATCGATCAAATGAGTCGGAAAACTTGTAAAATTAGAGCGTTGTTTTTTTTACTGCTGCAGAAAAAACGCTGCTGATGGAGCTTATGAAAAATACAAAGATGTAATGGCTAAAAATATTAACAAATAAATAAAGCCAGGGAGTTGGCTTGGCAAAGAATTGCAGACAGACTAAATGTGTAAGTTATATAAGTGTTACAAGTGCCTAGTATGGTGGTACAGTGGTTTATGGTGTCGCCTTACACCACGAAAGTTCCTGGTTTGATCCCCACATAGTCAACGGGGACCCGTCTAGGTTAAGTTCACATGTCATTCTTACTGTATAATGTTATTGAATGGAATTTCATCCCACGAAATGATCTTTTGGGAATCTGTTCCCACACGTTGGACGTTCTTTGAGACAACGCTTAACTAAGAGTTAACCTGGGGCCTGTACTACGAAGCGGGGTTACTGGCTTATCGGAGTAACTTGTCGGATTTTAGGTAGTCTGGGCAAAATGTAAGTGAACGAATATGAAGTCCATAAGAACATAAGAAATTTACAAATAAGAGGAGGCCATTCGGTCCATCAAGCTCGTTTTGGGAGAACTTAACTAATAGCTCAGAGTTGTTAAAATCTTATCTAGCTCTGATTTAAAGGAACCCAAGGTTTTAGCTTCCTCTACACTAGCAGGAAGACTATTCCATACTATTCCTACACGCTGTGTAAAGAAGTGCTTCAAGTCCATTTAAACTGTGGTACCTTAAATCCGACAAGTTACTCCGATAAGCCAGTAACCCGCTTCGTAGTACAGGCCACTGGTCTGGAGCAGACTTGTTCACTCGCCTAAGTTACCATGGTAGCTCAGCTGGGATTAATTTAAGACACGTTGATGGAACAGAACTCCCACTTAAATGAGCCAGACTTGTCGAAATAGGTCAGACCTTCCCTTAATCCTGCTTCGTGGAACACCCCCCTGTTGTTTAACGTAAACCTTAACTGAAGCTATATATATATATATATATATATATATATATATATATATATATACT